TTCTTGCGCTTGCAGATGCCGATCAGAAACTGGAGCCTGTGGTCGGATTTTCTGAAACAGCCACCTGGGCAGGAAACGTGAAAATACCTGGGTTTAAAAATACATGGGGGGGGCGGAAAAAACCCCAACCTACAAACAAAGAAACCCACCCCAACACCAGGAACATGAAGAGAAAAGGGAGGAGTTTTAAATCCCCTCGGTCGGATGAGCGTGGAAGGCAGCGAAGGGTGCTGGGCTTCTCCCCACCCTCCTGTGGAGCCCGTCCGAGGACCCCGCCGCGGGGTGTTTCCCCTCCCATACGGGGGAGAGGGGGCGGAAAAAACCCCAACCTACAAACAAAGAAACCCACCCCAACACCAGGAACATGAAGAGAAAAGGGAGGAGTTTTAAATCCCCTCGGTCGGATGAGCGTGGAAGGCAGCGAAGGGTGCTGGGCTTCTCCCCACCCTCCTGTGGAGCCCGTCCGAGGACCCCGCCGCGGGGTGTTTCCCCTCCCATACGGGGGAGAGGGGTTGAAAGCATCACCCAGCCCGCTGCTGACAAGCAAAAAACAAAAAAAAGTGGGTTTAAGTCGCCTTTTTCCGCCAGGGGACTTTGTCAAGCGGCGTGAGCAAGCGCCGAGGCTGGGACGATGGGCCCCATCCGGCTCCTGCTGAGCACCCGGGAGCTGGGATTTGGGAGCAGCAGGAGGGACGTGATCCGGTGGCTGAAAAAGGTGATTTGTACCGAAACACCTGGGTTTTATTTGCAGCGCGAGGTGGGGGACCGTGGTCTGAGCGCTGCCGCTTCCGCGCAAGAAGCAGCGGCTCGCGCGAAGCTCGGGGCAGGGATGAGCAGCGCCGGGGTTTTCTCCTCCTCCCTGCAAACATCCCATCGCCTTTTCGAGCGCGGCGGAGCTTTTGGCCACGCTAGCATCCTGTGAAGGAGTCCCACAACCTAATGGTGTTCAAATATGTTTCCTTTCACTCGGTTTAAATTTACTGCCCGTTGTTCTCCAGTGTTTATTGTTGCTTCTGGAGAGTTCCTCTCTGGTTTGGACAGTAAATCCGCTGCCTTCGCAGAGGGTTTCTCCGTCCAAGAGCTGCAGCACAAGGAAAGAATTAGCGTCTTGCCTTGGGTCCGGATGCGGAGCTGTTGCTACTTCACACTGCTGCTGGCGGTTTTGAAAATGGTGAAGGAAAATATTTTTCAGCCGCTTTAAAGAAACGGCGACTCCGAAGGGAAAAGCGGCGGAGCGAGCGGGGCGGAAAGTTCCCCCTCCACCAAATTTTCTCTGTGCGTGCGAAGTCCTTGCCTCGGCCCCCGGCCTTGGGGCTGTGGACTCGCTCCGCGTGGATGAAACAAAAATCCTCATTCTCGGCTTTTCCCGTCTCACCGGCCTTTGAGGGACGCCTGCATCCCCCGCTCGGCTGCTGGCCTGAGCGGCGACGCTTCT